AGTTAAAATGACAACATGTCGTTTTGGGTTACGAAGTCTCGATTTCATTCCAAAATTAGTCGATCTTTTCTTGAAACATCTTAGAAAACTTATACAAGTTAAACAAGCTAATTTTTTCAGTATCTTATCTCATAATTGGAATATAATAAAATTTGAATTACTTAGTTTTGTTCGTAGTTAAATCTAGTGTAGTTTACTTACCTAACAATAGTGTTGGTTATTATTGTGTGAACTTTGTATCAACACCATTGTTCAAATGCAATGAAAATTTGCATTCACTCATTTTCACGTAGATATGAGTGAAAATAATGTGACACTGATAAGAAATCAGTTTAAACGACGCCCAATAATTTCAAACTGAAACTTGCCATTTTGGTAGCGGGTCTCGATTTTACTCTAATATAGTTAAAAAATTTCTACTTTCATTTTCTTGTGTGTACGAGAGAATATAAAGTAAAACAAATACAAAATTAGTTAAAACGTCGTCAAATCGTTTATAACGATATCCTGTCATTTAGGTTATGAATTTTGAATTTCACTCAAGATATAATTAAAACACATTTTATTAATTTTTATGTGAATAAGAGGGAACATAAAGTGAAGCGAATACAAAATTTATTAAAACGACACTCAGTCGTTTAAAAAGGTAGCATGCCAATTTGTCGTTGGTTTTAATTTGGGTATGAAAAGTGAGAATGAAAGTGGGAATTTATGTTATGGGATTTTGGTTTGAAATTGGACATTTTAAACATTTCAAATGAAGGGTATTTATGATGTTTAATACATGATAAAATAGACTAAATATTATTTTATCATACATTATTGATATAAGCTATTTTATCTAACATTATTGTTGACTAGGCTTTTAAAGCAAATCCCCTTTATATTATGTTCGAATTTTGAAAGTTTTAAAAATATATTAAATTATTACGTGTGAGTGAATATATCATAAACATAAAGAAAGGAGAAAGTTGGAGCAAATGTTTCTTACACTATTATATTTGGGAATCACGTTCACGAGTTGATTAATGTGATAAAATAATTTAACTTTTTCCGTCTATTATATTCAGTGAATTTCATTGGAGTAATATGACAATTAAGTCATATGCACGTAAACTGACCCCAAAGGATAAGCACTCCCGTACACAATCGGAGGCCCCACACTTCCTGGAAGTAGGTATTAAAAAAAACCTCTAGTATAAGCACCTTTACACAACGAAAGGCCCCTCTATGCATGAGAAAAAGTTATAGACCTTTGACATGAGCACCATGACAAGGGACCGACGTGGACATTTTGAATTGAAAACACAATTAAACTTATCAAAAATTGTGAAAGATTTTACATTCGAAAATTTATATCTAAAAAAAATCATTCCCCAATTAATTTTACATCCGAAAATTTACATAGAGTATGACTTTTTTGGATGTAAAATTTCGAAAATTTTTACGCCTATTCCACGTAAAATTTCCTAATAAAATANTATTCAGTGAATTTCATTGGAGTAATATGACAATTAAGTCATATGCACGTAAACTGACCCCAAAGGATAAGCACTCCCGTACACAATCGGAGGCCCCACACTTCCTGGAAGTAGGTATATTAAAAAAAACCTCTAGTATAAGCACCTTTACACAACGAAAGGCCCCTCTATGCATGAGAAAAAGTTATAGACCTTTGACATGAGCACCATGACAAGGGACGGACGTGGACATTTTGAATTGAAAACACAATTAAATTTATCAAAAATTGTGAAAGATTTTACATTCGAAAATTTATATCTAAAAAAAATCATTCCCCAATTAATTTTACATCCGGAAATTTATATAGAGTATGACTTTTTTGGATGTAAAATTTCGAAAATTTTGACGCGTCACGTAAAATTTCCTAATAAAATAA